AGTTTGGTTCAGTTCGATGTTCATATTCAACCCAAACCATACTTTACGGTTTATAATTTTTATAAACCAAATCGAACCACGGTTTACAGTTTAATTCGATTTCAAACCACGGTTTGTGATTTACAAAATAAAATAGATTAAATTCACTATTTTTATAAAAAATTTAATAGAGTTTCCCAAAAATTGGTCATCCATTTTTTTCTCAACATGTTTAACTTAATAAATTCATTATTTATTAATTAACTATAATAGTTATACATTTTATAATAAATATATTTATACCATTTTACCAAATTTCACTATTACTAATATAAATTACACTCCAAAAAAGAAAAATAATCAATTATTAGAATGAATATAAATATAAAAAATAACAAAAAGAAGAAATATACAGTCAAATAATAAAAATATACCATATATATGGAGATAGAATCTTTAGTTTTGTATATATATAAACTATACGGTTTGGTTCGGTTTATACGTTTGTCAAGACATCAAATATCAAACCAAACCACACAATACAGTTTGGTTCGATTTTATATAGTTTGGTTCGGTTTATACGGTCTAATCGGTTTGGTTTGATTTGTTGAACACTTGTAGCACATGATAATTCAAGCCTTATGGTTTACCATATTATTTGGACAACAAATAAATCTAGGACAAGCAGCTGTAATTTACAGAAAGGTGCTGCAAAATGTCCACAAAAAAACCAGTAAGCCACAGTAAAGGATAGTAGTTTAATTATTTGACTCTAATGTATTCCTCTTCAAGGATTGGATCAAAATTTTCCTCGTAAAAATCTAACCGTTTCTTTTTCCAAATGTGAAAATTCCAATTCTTACCTTCCATGACCACTAAAAATCACTTCTCAATTTCTTTTCTGCTTAATATGAAAAGGAAATCCACTAAAGTCAAAAACCTGTAGAAATGAGAATTCAACTAGAAATGTAAACTTATTTATTCCTGATTCCAATAAAGGAAAAAAAAAAAAAAAACAAATAGCATTAGGCGAAAATTAGAAGGTTAATTCCTCTGAAAGGGAAGCAATAACTTTCTTCCCTTAAAGTGGGCCATTTCATCTTAGGTATTTTCACATGCAAGGCAGCTAAATAGCTTCCATATGTTCTGCACCTCTCTCTTGTTTATTTATATTGCTCAACCCAAGTGTTGATGTTGTAGGATTTCACTTCGCCGAGGAACAAGGAATTCTTGATTGAGCACAGGGCTAGCTTCTACATCAGAAATAAGGTCAGTATTTTTCCGATTAGAATTGATCTTTTTTTATTTGGATGTGAATAATTTATCTTTTCAAATGGTTGTTGAGTTTATGAAGTTTTTTTCTTTTATGAGTACCATTTTACCTATATTTGCAAGTTTATGTGTATAAAGAAATGGAGGCTGGAGAAGGACAAGGACATAATATGGCTCAAGGTCCACCTGGTTGGAGAGTTGAACCTCGGCCCCGCACAAATGAGAAATACCTAGGAAGAATCGATTGGGTTTGTTTCTTTTATTGGCTTTCTTTTTGAACTTGTAGCAATTCATGGTTGTACTTGCTTTACAAAATTCTAGAAAATGGATCAAGAAAAAAGAATTAAGAACATGCTTACAGAAAATGTCCTATTGCTTAATTACCAAATGTTTTCAAAGCCAGCTAAGCCTTTGGATTTTGGATTGCCTACTTCAAAGAGGGTATTACCTAATTTCCATGAGCGAAACCCACCTATGATCAAAATTAATGAGTACACTTTTTTACAACTTCATTTTTTAAATCTGGACAAGATCTCGGTTTTTCAATGTAGCAACAAAATCATGTGAACTTACAATTATGTGCATCTAGTGTGCAAGTTATGTGAAACTTCTCATTGGTATACTAGTACTAAAAATGAAAAGGTTTTCATTATTAAACAACAAACATGTCTTTATAATCTAAAATTGCCCCTACCTAAATACCTTTTGAAACACTTAAAAAAAAATATGCAGTTCTTCTGAAATTGCTTAATACTGGTCTTGCATAATTGCACATTCCTCTTTTATTGAAATTTTCAAATCCTTGCCATGTTTTAAGCTACTTAAAGTCCAACTACTAACAGAAGGTTTTTTAAATTTGTAGTTTTATTATGAACCAGAAACAGGAAGACAATATAGATCACGTAAATCAGCATGGGTTCGTTATGAAGAAACAAGACAAGAAGACCCTAACAATATGAAGGATGAAATGATGACTCCAATAGAACATGAAAAGGCAAGAACAAACACTTGATTACCTTTTAGCTAAGTGATGGAGATATTATTCCTCTAATAATCCAAAGTTACAAGTATCTTTGAAATGTAATTGTTCTATATTTTCAGTTTCAGGTTTTGGAGAGTTCCAGGACGCTTCCTCATGATATTCCCAATCAAGAATTGGCGACTACTCTCATGTGAGCTTGAATAAACTTCTCGGGCACATAATTATAGAATGAATATAGGATTATTTAATTTTCTTAACATATTAATAGTAATTAAATTTTATTCATAGATGCGCAAGCCAAACATAAAGAAACTTGCAATGATGAGATCAAGAACTACTTCTTTTGATGTTGTTAATAATCCTGAATCAGTCACATGGCTTTTGACTGAGGTTGAAAAGGACAAATGGATCGGATTTATAGGAGATGAAATGGTCCCTGAAATTGAGCAAAAACTATGGGAAGAAACGTTTGAACTTTCCATGATGTGGAAAGATTGGCCAGGTTCTAAAGGTACTTATCTTCCTCATATTCCCTTCACACAAGGGTGATTTTGTACATGAAATCTATGAATGAATATTTTGAACTAGACACTAACCTGATTGTGTTTTGGCCAAAACTACATTATAGAAGACATATCTTAATATTATGTTATGTCATTTGGTGTATCAATTTGCAATTCAACTACTTCAGTAATAGACTAGAAACTTGAAGTTGTTCTATATCCATTGCCACCTCTCAAATGAGCTTTTAGCACCCAATTGGTATCAAAAGACTACACACAAAACAAATATATACACATATATATGGCTTGCACATGGAATGCATATGCATTTTTCTTAAATACATATATATGCTTGTTGTGATTCAGTTATAAAATCATTCATTGCTCAATTTTGGGCTCACTTTTATTTTTTAATTTATTGTTCTATTTCAGATTCTGAAGAATAATGTCTACAACTTAATCTGGGAGGGTAGTTTTTTTTTTTTTTAATTTGGATTTTGATTGGTTTTCGATTTTGGATCATTTTTTGGACAAATTACACAAATGAATGTATTCCTTTGCATGTATGCCTTTATATGAAAATGGGTTTTGGATACCACTTTTGAGCTTTGTTCTATATGTTTCATTAGTTCTCATTTGAAAAAAAATTAAAATATCTTTGCTAGCTAGATTAGTTAGACCCTTGGATCTATAATTATTGTATGTCCAACTCAAGTTTTGGATTAAGACCTTGCAAAACACAATTAGATCAACAAACTAAGCTAGTCTTCATCCATAAACGCATGTCTTATTTTCAGAATAGCACATGATGATCAATGCCCTGACAGCTTACAACATTTGGAGTTCTAACAAATCTATGACAGACACATGCAATTTAATCAAAAGCTAGCCTAAATTATTCCTCTTCTTGCACTTGATTGAAGATTTAAATAAATAGGGTAATTCCTATCAAACATCTACAACTAATTTTTTGTCCTAGGATGAAAATTTCTAGTTCTTACATTCTAGGACAATTATGAGTCACTTTTCTTTTATTTTTCATGCTATATAAGACAACTAAACTAAATACCACTTAAAAAATCAAAACCAAGTCTAATATCTTGCAATTAGACTTGTTAAATAAAAATTAAACTGACTTCAAAATATAATGATTCAAAATTAATCGATTCTCAGTTACAACAGATACAGTGGAATACGACATAAATAGGGTATATATATTTCAGGCTTGCATTCATGGCTTACTTGACCAACTTGTCTGAAAGAAAGAAACATATTCTAATGAATGGGCATGCATTTTTATAAACTGATTCCTGAAACTTAAACTAAGTATTGGTTCTTTCAATGCCGAATAAAAACCCCATACCACTTAGATAAGAATGCACATTCATATGCATGTTATGTGCACTTAGAAGTATGTGGTGCATCTTGCATGCACATTATGTGCAACAACTCTTATATGTTTACAATATTAAAATGGAAATGTTGTCAAATAAATATACATAATTTTGGGCAACAGTGATCAACATCTTGCATCCCATCAATGCTTGGCCATGGTAAACAAAGGAGAATTTTACAAATTCTATGCCGCTTCAAAACATAAGTAGCAAAGCAGCTACAACGTGCAAATTTTGATAACTTAAATGATTTCTGTGGGAAAAAATTTCTCATTGGATACTATTTTTAAGTTAGGACACAAACAATATTAAATAAATACATATAATTTCTTAATTGTATGTGTCCCAAAAATGCAAATCCATTTCTTACTTTTCCTAGTTTTTGCAAGTCAACTTCGACTTTGATGTTTGTACTCCACATGACAACAGATATGGCTGGCAAGGCTCCACAAGCAAGGTAATATAACTAAGAAATCACTTCAATAGCAACAAATGTATCACGTTGGGAGCTCTAAACTATTCAGTTTTTCCAACAGGTAAGTTTTGCAGAATAAGTATTTTGGCAAGCGAGAAGCGGAAATACGAGGTAGAATCAGTTTTTACACTACCAGTGAAATGCAAAGAGGATCTTATTTCCACACTCCAACTCATCAATGGCGGATGCTTATGGTTTCAATATAAATTGCAAGAATAAGCAAAGTTACGCAATGTGTTTTTATAACTAAAAATTATATATCTATTAAGATATCACAAGTAAATTATTGGTGGTTAAACCAAGTACTAACAACACTTGAAAGAACAGGAGACTATAGGTACCAACCTAAGAAGTCAATTCTGGTACAACTAAGGTAACAACAATGGCAAATCTACTTACCGGCCGTTAGGCTCAGCAAGCCTGAGCCTGCACCCCACCTGCTCGAGAAACTTTGACAGCCGCAAGTGCTTTGCAGTCCACTGCTCAGCTAACTTCTGTTCCTTGGCTTCTGCGTCTCTTCTCAGTCCTGCTAACTGCTCTCTGTACTCAGCTTCAATCCTGTCAAGCTCAGACTTCTGCTCTTCTCTAAGAGCCCTCATTTTAGACTCAATCTCCTCCATTTTCTCCCTCTTCCGAGAAGCCTTCTCAGATTCCAGTTGCAGCTCAACTCTTTTTAACCTCCAGGCTGCTTCCTTCTTATGTGCTGCCCACGCACGATGCCCTTCTTCCAACTCTCTGCAGCACTCTGTGAGCTCAGAAATCAGTACGTTGTTTCCACAAGCTGTAGCCCCATGAGGGCCCATACAGCCCAATACAAGAGGACTACTTTCTGGTCCTCTGTCAGGCTGCAGCCTAGGAATTGCAGGTGGTGGTGGTGGAACAGTTGCAGGTGAGAGGCTTAATGTCACAGAAGGGAAGATAGCCCAACATTGGAACTGGAATTAGTATTAGACAACCATGAAGGAAGCAAAGTTGGAGATTTAGCAGGTGGATCAGTGTGAAGAAAGCCCCCATTGGAAGCCGCCATCAGAAAAGTTGAGGCAGGGCGTTCCTTCACCAGCTTCTCTGCGAAGTTCTCGAGAATCTGGTCGTACTTGCTGTCCACTATGGGGTCTATGACCTTGTTGTTCTCCTTCTTTTCCCTCTCTTGTTTCTCTTTGAAAACTTCCCACCACTTCCCAAGTCTCTTGGCAGTTCGTCCAGGGACTTCAGCTGCTATTTTTTTCCATTTGTTGCCATGCTTGGCCTGAAGACGGATAACTAGACGCTGCTCCTCTTCAGTGAGAGATCCTTTCTTAATTCCAGGTTTTAAATAGTTCTTCCACCTTTCCAAGCAAGATTTGGCATCTCGATTGAGGGTGTGTTCATGCGCTGTGAAAGAAGGTTCCATTCTCTAGGCCCATATTGCTTGACATATGCACGCAACAGAGAATCCTCTTCAGGTCTCCAGCGCTGCCTCTCCTTCATTTCCAGTTTCAAGCACCAATACCCATAGCCTGGAACTCTTCATGATGTATCTGATAACAGAAGGGGAATAAAACAGCATACTGAAAACATTTCTAGTATGATGAAGAAATTAGTATGTAATGTGGCAGGGTAAAAACGATACGCATACTAGCATCTCATTACTATCTAGTGATGAAGTTTCGCCTTTTCTAAAGGGACATTATCCTGTTACTAAATGTAAACAGAAACAAATACATAGAACTTCCACATCACAAAATAGAGAATGCAGTGGTCACAGTCAGTAATGAAATAGTAATCCGCCAACTAGGAATCAATGAAATTCAGTGAGCTCCTTTCAAAAGGACTAATGGTAATTAATTTAACTGGTCTCCAATTTGTTCCACCTCTTGCATTGATTCGATAAGTCCTTGAAAGAATAATCCAATAGCCCTCAAACGATGAGGAAAAGGCAATAATGTACATTAGACACTTCCATGGCAATTTTCTTGCAAACAAACAGTTAGCATTCTCTCTCTCTATATCTCTCTCAACTGAGCTGAGCTGAGATATAAACAGCCAGGAACAGAACAAGACCACAAGACTAGAAGAAACAGACAATTATGTGAACTGAGAGATGAACATAAAGGACATAAGCAAATAGCAAGAAATGATGGATGAAGATGTCCACATCTCAACAAATCTGAAACTGCTCATTTTTTTATAAATGATAAAACGTTTTTTACACTTTTGTATCAAACTTCTAAAATCAATTTTTTTCTCTAAAAAGACAAGAGAGTGCGAATCTAAACTCTCTACATCGTGATTCCATTTTATACTGAAATGGATACACCTCAAAATAATTCATAATCCTTATTTAAAAGATTTTGACCAACAGATGACCAAAGAAGGAGCAATTAATAAATTTCTATGCTGAATGAAGCAGATATAGGTGGCTACTTTAATTCTGTAGCTAGACGCGCTTCTGATCTTTCTTGTTCATGAAATCGCCATGAAGTTGACACTGCACCAAAATATAACACAAAGCGGATTTGCATCACCTGAAGAAAAATAAAATTAACCTAAAGGAGAGGAGCAGTTTTGAGTCTCGAGTACTATCAGTATAGTAGCTTTCCAATGTCCTAACACGAAAAGACGTAAAATAAAGCAGACCAATACAACACTTCTAACTAGGCAGCTTCATCATCAAATTACGTCTCAATAAAAGCAAATCATAACATACCGATTTCTGAAACATAACATTGATGGAAATGGCCCAACATTAACAAACTCAGAATTCATTTTATATGTAGCAGTGAGATGTTCAGTTGCTCACTTTGTAAGCATAAAAGGGTAAAGGGAAGCTTTTGCTGAAACAGAGATGCAGTGTAGAGATATCAATGCAATCGAATAAGCGGAAGAGCACATATATACAAAAACAAAATATATATCTAATATGCAACAAAAATAAAAGAACAGAACTAAATTGCATTACTTGTTTCTTCTAAACAGAAGAGGAGAAGAGCTCTTACGGTTCTCTTTCAAGAAACAGACCTCCTCCGCGGCCGCATTTCCCGTTCAATTTCTCCAACAAATCGAGAGAGAGAGAGAGAGGGCAGTGGCGCTCTGGGGAAAAAACAGAGGAAGCAGATTAGACAACACTCGGGAGAAATAATTGAAGAAACTATTTTAAAGACAGAAGGAGTGAGTGGTCTGACAATGGCCGAAAAGGAGGCACGCGGAGGGGAAGCAAAAGGCTAAGGTCGAGATTTTAAGGGTATCTCCCTCAGTCGGCTGACGTGTCACAGGGAATGTGCCTACGTCACCTCTGGTCTACGGCGAAAAGTCATACAGGAGAGAGAGAGAGAGCGCTTTATACATGTCTGTGTATATAGAGATAAAAGTGGAGAGAGAGAGAGAGAGAGAGAGAGAGAGAGAGAGAGAGAGGAGGGAAAGGGAGCGCTCGATTTCAGCGCTAATAAAAATTCGCCACATTCCATCTCTCCCTGCGCGGCAGTGGCAGTGGATGGGGCGAGAATAGGTGACACAATACAAGGCAGTCATGCTACAAAATGACAGCCAAATCAGGGACGTCGGAAGGGTAGAAGATATTTGTCATTTTTGATTAAATTAAATAAAAAAACATTTAATTAGTATAGAATAAATGATAAAATATTTTTATAATCACAAAAGCCGTTACAGCATACGTTTTGGGACAGGCAGCCACCATATTTTAAATAAAATTAATTTTATATTATAAAATAAATAAAAATATTTGTAAAAATTTAAAAAAATAAATCAAACTGAATTATTTTTTTTTTATTTTACCACCAATTTGTTAAAAAATAACCAATTCGCCCCTAAAGTATGTCAATTAACTTTGAAATTTCAAAAATAAGTCACCAAGTTATTTTATTTGATTTTTTATTATGATAAAATTAAATTATATATAATCTTGTTAAAAAAACTTATGTCATACATCATAAAATTCTGAAATGTTTATTATTGTTAATTAAAAATCATGTCATAACATGATTTTTACATGTTGGATTACTACTTATATAATAACTAGATATGTGTATGTTAATTTCAAATGATTACAATTATAATGAAGTTGTCTGTAATATGAATTATATAATAACTTACACTAAAATTGATATTATTATAAAATTTACAATGAATGTAATTAAAAAATTAAAACATAAGCAATAATGATATACAATTTAATAAATATATTTTATAAGAACACAATAATAATCTCATAATAAATTATAATAAAATTAACACTGACGAGTAGATACTAGATCTAGGGTGGACCAGCACCTACCAGAACCCCTCCCCGAGTTGTTCTACTTTTCCATACAAAATTCCATCCCGTTGATTCTCTTTCCCAAGCAATTGGAATTGTTATAGAGTGCATCGCGATGCACAATTGTAGGGTATGGCGGAGCGAATTGGAAGGCATGCAAGTTACATTTATGAGAAACGGACTTGACCCACTTGTGGGAATAGTCCAATTGGAAATGATCAGCCAATGTGAGCAGAGTAGTACTCCGTGTATCTGATGGACAAAAATTATGGGAAATTTGACTCCAATATGCGTCGGTCAACTGATTTATATATTATTTAAATTGTTTAATAAAAATATAAATTTAACTTTTTTATAATATGAGCGAAATTACAAAATTATCCATTTTATTTTTTGTATTTTCATATAATTTTTAAAATAAAATATTCACAAAATTAACATATAATATTTTATTCTCAAAAAATTTTAATTTTAACACTATATCTCATAAAACCGCACAAAAAAGACATTTCCGTTATAATATAATATTAGCTTTCTTAGTTAACATTTTAATAAAATATTAATCAAAATTTATGATTTTAAAGAATATAAATATTTTTTTAAATATAGTAACAACGGTAAATAATTAAAATAGAAGAAAAAAATATTTATATATCTTTAAAAATAAAATTTTTGATAAATATTTTATTAAAATATTAATAAGAGGAGATAAATATTATAAATTTAATATTTATGTAAAAATATTTGTTATATTTATAAAAGTATAATATTAAAATTTAAAATTTTTTGGGCAAATTGGGATATGTCGTAAAAGAAAAAAATACGGTTAAAGGGCGGTTCTGGTTAAGTTAACGTGGGATTGGTTGACGAAAGTATTGGCCAGGGGATGGTGAGGCACAGAGTGCAATAATTAGGAAGGAAGAGTGGGACCCAGGGAGATGGGGTTGGGCGGAACGGGTGGGGGACTGGAGTCCGGGTTTCGCGGCACAAGGGGACGAGGGGTGAAAGGGACAGGACCTCCGCTGCCAATGCCCAATCCCCCACCTTCTCAGTCTTGTCAGCGATACGTTACGTCCGCCCTTTTTCCTCGCTTCCCCCCACCTCTATGTAAAACCACCACTGTTACCGTTCACTTTTTTTTAAATTTAAAAAATTAAATAACTACGTTGAAAAAGATATCTGAATGTAAAAATTTATATCAAAATTTATATTATTAATTTAATTAAAAATTAATTATTATTAAAAATAAAAAATTAGTTGTAATTAATCTTATCAGTTAATTTTAACTAAATTAACGACATAAGATTTGGTATAAATTTTTTATATTTATATTAGTATCAATTAATTTCTTATCAATACATTAAATATTTATATTTTAATAATAATTCTTATTACAGATCAAGATAATATTTTTTATAAATTATAAAATTTTAATTTAATATTTGATTATGGCTTTTGTAATAAAAATTATTACAGTTATTATATATGCTTAAAAACTAATTATTATATTTTTTTTATTCCTAAAAAGTTAATTTAAAATCCTTTAATTTTAAGGGTCCTTTAGTTTATCAACTGTAAAAAACATACTTTATATTTTTATAAAAACAACAAACTCTGCAAAAATTTTAAATCCTCATAGTTTTAGGTAAAGATAGTGATAGATATACACTAATCCTGCACACAAAAGGAAATATGAAACAGATAAAACTTATTTTAAATTGACTAGCTACCACTTAACTTAGGGTGGATTTTGAGGAGCCGTTCCATGAAAACTTGTTTGGTGGGATAGATAAAAATAAATATTTTATTTTATTTTATATATAATACATTGGAAGGATAAAAAAATTGGATAAATTTAAATATGGTAATTGTTTAATTAAATTCTAACAAATATATAAAGAGGTGAAATATTTTTATCAAATTTTATATAATACTTTAAATTTTACTTTTTATACAGTGTTATTTATACTATTTACAAGTTAAATTATTAAAATAACTCTTCTTTTATTAGATAATTTAGTGTTTATTGTGGTTTACACCGACATAAAATTTTACTAAAAACTACACTTACTATTTAATAGTCAAGAACATAAAATAATATTTTAATAATTTATATATTTATTTTATATTTTATCTAA